AAGAGTGTGTTTCAAAGTAATGCTAAAGAAGATGAGTTTTTAAGCCAGCATGAATTCAAGCTACTGTTTGGGGCATGCGACATTGGTTATTCTTATATTTTAGTTCCAATTACAGTCCACATTATGCCACTTTATGTTGGAACTATATTGATCTTCTTGTGACTGAACTTGAAATTGCCAGAATTGAACTACTCTATGCAATCGCAATGGTAATTTTGCAAAAATAATCTTTGGGTTGGGGGTGTCAGATACTTTTGAACAATAATCACAAGATATAGTGATTAAGAAACACTAAACATCAACAAGTCATTTATTTCCAAGCCCAAAATTACAAGTTCATGACGCTTGGGAATATACTTCATAGGAAATACCTCCACTGAAAACTTTACAATGGATGGAAAACATGACTATCAACGATCAAGGAGAATCAAGCAAATTGCATACTAACAGGATGTGGTCTTCAGAAGCCATTCTTTCTTCTTCTGTTTTTTTTTTTATACAGAAAAATGTTGTACCAGGTAGTATCTCTTAACATACTCTACTCACTAGCTTCTTTAGTTTAAAATATTTATTTTCCATGTCCACAATTGTGAATTTGGAAATTTGAATGCCATTAAGCTTGCTGTTCTCATGAAGCTATTCAGTAAATAAAAATATTTCGTACATCAATTTCCTTTCCACACACAGATTCCTTAATTCTTACTCTCTGGCATTTTAGAAATATTTTATTTGTAATTTGTGATGTTTATTTTAAACTTCCTTGCTTTATATCATGGACTGGAATGAAGATTTTGGGTTTTATCGTTCCATTATTGAATTTCAAAGTTTAAGGGAATATATGTTATTATGTATATATTGGTACAGTGGTGTGGTGATGGCCTACACAATGGTCCCGTAACTCCCCCAACTGGATGAAGCTGGATTCAATGCCAGGCTTGTAGTATCACATTGAGAGACTTGCTATTGGATTTTCACTAAGAGTGTGATTGGGTATGAAAATAGGTGTTCAATCTACAAGTCATAAAAAATAAAATAATTAAAACAAAATCATTTGAGATGCTTATTTTCTGCATATGTAGTTACTGATATTTGCTCCATTTATAACTCTGAAGTTAGGTGATCATAATGTCATTACTTCTATCAAGTTTCCTTGTAAGTACTACAGGTTTTGACCTAGGTAAAGGGCAAATTTGAAATGTGGTCTTATAAGTACTACAGGTTCAAGTAATTTTAATTGCTTCAAAATCAGGATCCTTCCCTTTGGCAAACTGTTGCACTGGCATTTCAAACACTCAGTGTTGTATATGGTGACATGGGCACAAACCCTTTATATGTCTTTACTGATGTGTTCAGCAAGGTGCCTGTCAAGTCGGATGTTGATCTGTTAGGGCAATTATCACTAGTAATGTACACAATTTCCCTACTACCTTTAGCTAAATATGTTTTTGTGGTGCTCAAAGCCAATGATGATGGGGAAGGTATGTTTTCACTTCTCCAAAAGCTAATATTTTTGTCTCATTTGGTCTTACCACTAGGTAATCATGGATTTTTAGGCTTCTTCATGAAACTGATCTTCATCCTTACTAACAATATCTTCATCTGATCTGGTTTAGGTAATATTTGTACCTCGAATAATGTGTTTTGTGTGATAGTAATACCAATCAAATTCATGTTTGCAAGTAGTACTGCTTTTTTATATGCATGTCATCTACGTGGTAGCAACTTTGACTTCCCATTAAAATTTACATTATGGTGAGTGAGTCTACATATTTGTTTTGGTTATTGTGTTTCCTTTTCTCTTTTCCTACATTTGTTCATAATATCAAGTTAGTGACGATGGTACACATAATTTGTATGGAACACTGACAATGTATTTGATTTTATACATACATAAAATTACTTCTTATGAGAACAGAAAGTAGTCATGTGTTTTCAACTCTTGGGTTATTGGTTGTCACTTCAGTTGAAAGACATTGTTCTTATTGTTCATCCCATCTCTAATTCATATTCATTTTGAATAAGTGGTCAGTTTTGTGTGCTTAGTAGTTCATTGTCTCTTGCAGAGATGAAATATCTGGATGCAGTGAAGAGGCCTATGATTCACTTTCAATTAATGATGCCCGAAAAATATTGATGTTCTCTTCCGACCAAGAACTTTTTGAGTATATCAAGGAGGTAAACTTCCTGCTGCTTAACTCATTTTTATTCTTATTGTTAATCAATAGAATGCATTACTGGCTGGATCTGCTTTGATGGTCTATAGTTTAAGGGCAGTACTAAGCATCTAATTGAAAGTCATTCTTGGTTTGCTCATTTCCTTCATATTGTTGTTCTTTATGCCAAGAGCAGTAGTGAGTAAATTCTTGTTCTCAAAACAATGTGGTCCCTCCTCCTTTAGGGTTTTTTACTTTCAAATTCTTAAAGTTTAAATTTTCAATTTTTGTTTGGAAATAGGGATTTTAAATTTCAATAGATGCATTATGGGTGTCTTGTCATTCATATTATCATTACATTAATGACACCACCATAATCCACCAACATGGAAGCCTTGTAATGTTATTTAGTGTCCAATTTAAGTGCTCCTTGATAAGCATTGTTTTATGTGCAATTTGCAGGAGCATCCTGAGTGGGAGATAAAGAATGGGTTTGTAATTTTCCATAGGGCAAAAGAATCTTCACCTTGCAAGGACATACCGTTTCTGCAACTAATAAACCAGACACTCAATTACGCAAGGGAGTTGGAGCGGATAGTGTGAAAGACATGCTGCTCCAGGGTTGTTTGTGCTCCTCACTCTATGATCTATCTTCCTGATGCAAAATTATATTGCTTTGAAGAAATTTCCCACCTTAAATTTATTAGACCTTTTTCTATTTAAATTTGTTTAGTATTGGAAAGTACACATTTAGATCTGTTCCCTGCAGTGAAAACTGTTTTGTTAATTGTAATCATTCCATGGGGTAAAAATTACAACTGAACTCTGCCCAATTGAATCAGTTGCATATAAGACTAGTAGATGGAATTCAATTATTGTTTGATGATTTAGTGAAGTTATAAGAAAAGAAATTTGTTAATGATTGTTCGTAAGCTTTTTCTTTTTTAAATGTTATTGTTCCTTAATTGTGGATGGATTGAATGAATTTTGTTCGATATTAGATTGAAGGTTTATAAACAAAAATTGATTGTTCTAAAAAAAAAAAAAAAAAAAAAAAAAAAAAGAAAGAAATTTGGCAACGAAAAAATTGGTCGGCAAATTCTACACTTTTGCGACTAAAATCGTTGGTCGGCAATTCCTTTCCTTTTGATGACTAAATTATTAGTCGGCGATTCCTTTACTTTTGGCAACTAATCTGTTTGGTCGTAGAATGTGACAATTGGCGACTAAGATATTTGGTTGGGAAAATATTGCTTATCGTGACCAAGTGTTTTAGCGACAAAATGGATTAGTCGCAGTAATGATATATTTAGCGACCAAAAATTTACTCGGCAAATCCAACTTTTCCCGACCAACAAAAATTTTGGTCGCGAATTACTTTTACCGACCCTCAATTGGCGACCAAAGTAGCGACCAAAAAAATTGGTCGCGGATAACTTTTGCCGACTAAAAATGGACTTTTAGCGACCAATTTTTTGGTCGGCAAAAGTGTTAATTCTTGTAGTGAATTCTCCTATTCTTTTCTTCAAAAAGTTGGCTCGAGGGCTTGACAACTTATTCTATAATTGAACGACAAATAATCCTCTAATTTTTCTCTTCAAAAAGTTGACACTAGTGCTTGACAACTTATTCTCTAATCGAATGGCAAAATCTCCTTCAAATAACACGAAAAAGATAACGAATTTGTAGAATTTTGACTTAAGTTCTTGATAACTTATTTCCAAATCAGGTTTGTAAAATCTTCATCAATTTAGTAGAAGAAGACACTAAATTTACAAAATTTTATGACAAACTTTAATTTGATCCTCCAAACTTAATGCTCTATGGAGATTGATAGGTTTTAACGAATAGACCTTCAGGGCTTTAGAGCTTGATGTAAATTTTTCTCATTACCACATGATTTTGTGTATCTAGAATTGTATGTAAAATTTTGTGGGAGATCACGCATGTGTGGTGGAGAGTTTTAACAGACTTGAACTTTTTTGATAATTATTTCCAATTTATTTAGAGATAAATATCAAAATATCACTTTAATGGTGTGTCATAATTTTATTGGCTTGACCACCTCAATGTAGTAAGAGGCTTAATTTGATTAGGATAAGGCTTGTCCACTTAAAGAGGCTGCATCATTTTGACATATTTGTGATTTTTTCACCATATAATCTTGATTTGAGACCAATTAAACACGTGGCGTTATTTGATTTACAAGTGATTGTGCCATGACATTTGTAGTATGTGGCAATTTATAACTGTTTGAAAATTTTCATATTTAAATGTAGTTTTCACAAAAAATATTAAATATAGGAAGCTGTTATTCTCACTTCACTTTATGAGAATAGCGGCTTCCTAAATATAATATCACAACCAAATTATAATAATAGTTTCAGTGACTGACTAGTTTTTTCTTCAATTTCTTGATCACAGCAATGGCAACCACCTACCCTATTTCCTCTCCGCTACTATTCTTGGCAATGGTGTCCTTGTTTCTTCTTGTTCAACCCTATCAGACCATTGTTAATTGGCTTGGAGATTCAATCTCCGACACTGGAAATTTATTTCGGGAGACTCCAATCGGTTATGCTGCTGCCTTCTGTCACATCCCGCCAAATTACCAGGACAGAATTACCTACCAAAAAGAAGTCTCATGGAAGGGAGGCTAAGGGAATATTCTGGAAGCTCCTGGAAAACTTGAGAAAATATGAAGACCATGCAGGATGTAGGAAGCTTCTAGAACTCCCTAGAGTATTGTAGACAATTGTACATAAGACTAGAAGCTTGTACATACTTCTTAAATAGGTTCTTTGAGAAGATAGGGGAAGGATCTAGAATCCTCTCCATCCTTGCAGATCTAGAATAGTCTATAAGATAAAGGTGGAAGAAGTGTCTAGAACACTCTCTATTAGTGTAGTTCTAGAATGTTCATTGTAGCCTATAAAAGGGAAGGTTCTCATTTGGCCAAACCACCAAGTGTAATCCAAAGCATTCAAGCAATACAAAGCTAGCATTCTCCAAGAGCTCTCTCTAAGTTTCTCTAAGTCTCTCTTGTGTGTGCAAACTTCTCCTAGCTCTCTTCCAAAGAAGGCTTACTTAGGTGTAAGCAAGGCGTGCATAAGCATCTAAGGCCGCACGGTTGGCTTGGAAAAACCAAGGCCGTGACACTTTGCCAGCCTTCCTTATGGCGAAAAACAATTTTCAAGAACGGCACCGGGTTTTGCAGTGGCAGGTCAATGATCAACTACTTCAGTGTGTGTTTTAATTGACCATTCAATTTGATGTGTGAAATTATCAAGTACTTAAGTCAATTTTTTATGTTATACTTAAATCACTTAAATGCATTTTTTTTTTTTTTGTGGTAATTTTACAGCTTGGGCTGCATTATCGGTACAAGCTTTGGCTGCTAAGAAAATGACAACAATGGTAATTAATAGTTCACTTAGAGTTAAACTTGAATGAGTGTTGGAACAGTTTAATCCCATATGCAATTCAGATAGGGGTTGGTAACTTTTTCAAATTAAATAGATTTAATTAGAATTAAAATTAGCATGATTTTTTTTATTCATATGGTTGTGTATGTTTAATAAACAGACTCAGTGGAGAAGCTTAAGAACTTGCTAGTTATGACGCAGAAAGCATACGGGATTATGACTGAATGGCTAATGCAGGACATTTTGCCCAACCTTCATTGTGATATTTGACATTGTTTTCACTCCTGGAGACAATAACCTATAGTTTTTAGAAAGTGTTTGCTAAATTGGATGCTTTTTTGACAAATACATTTGACTTTGGGACCAAGCTCTTGTTTGAGTCTCATGTGGAGCATAGGTACCATCTTCACTTGCTTTCTTGCTTGCCAATTTTATCAAATTTAAAATAATGGAGTACTAGTAAATTAAAACAGACAAGACTTACAAGGATTAGAGATTTGGACAATTAAAAGAAGTGGAAAAAGACAAACTTTTTATGAAGAAGGGAAGGAAAAAGCTTCTTATCAATCTTTCATAGGCAAAAAAGATTGTATAAGTAAAAAAGATTGCAGACTTATAAGCGCAAAGATTGCAGACTTATAGGCGCTTCAAATTTAGTAATTTTTTTTTTTGATTTTTTTGTGCAACAAAAAAAGAATCTATATCAAATATAACAAAACAAATTATCAAAGAAGGAATAAGACTCATCGCTATGTTGTCACTAAAGCTATATTTCAGGTAAATTCCATCGTTTAGCCTTTAAATTAGGGATACAAGATCAACCATATGACATTAATTAACAAAAAGTAGATTGAAATTTTATTTCTTTCATCCAAAAATTACAAGACTTGAGAAATCATCAATATATAAAAACTAATAAACCTAATTTCATGTATTGCTTTCTTCAAAGCTTAATACACTACACCCTAATCAAGCTTACGCCTTTTTTTTTAAATTTATTTTTTATTATTTATTTTTATAATAACTCGGTATCAAACCCACTAATAGACCAACTAATTTGGAGAGCATGAACAAAACATGGTGACATACATTAATTTAATTTCCAAACTCTTATAACAAAATTAAATCCTATCCATTTTAATTAATTTTAGAACACACTTTCCGAATTTCACCATTAGTGCCAGTCTTCAACTCGATGTTGCCCATCTTCACCATGGCCTTTCCAAACTCCACGTCGAAAACCAACCCCAGCAAGCCTCTGAAACCTAGGTACCGTTGGACATAAGTTTTTGTCGAAGCATCGGTCCATAACTTCTGATCAGACTCAAGAATTCCACGACCATTTCTTAGATTGGTGAAAAAAGACGTATCGAACTTGCCAACGCTACCAGTGTCAAGCGCGATGCGCTTTGAACCATCACCATTTTGAGGGCAGAGTGATTGGAGTTGAGGAAGGAATGCAGGATCAATGGCAGGGTCAGGGGCACCAGTGTTGCTGTAGTTGTATAGTCTGTAGCTGAAAAATTGGCATGCTGAAGTCCCAATAGTGTGCCCTCCTAAAGTAACACATGATAGGGATATGTTAATGTTGATTATCTCTATTTATGTATGCGTGGTGTTTGGTAATATAATAAAAGGGGTTAGAATAAAATATATTTATTGTCTTTAAAATATGTGTTTTATGTCAATTTGGTCATTCAAGCTTTAAATTTGTCATTAAAATTTTTAATTTGAGTATATTTGATCCAATTTTAAATAGACCGTCTAAATAGTTAATTAACAGAATGATAATAAAATACACATATAGCCCCTGAAGTATGTGTTTCATGTAATTTTGGCCTTAGAAGTTTTTAATTTTATCAATTTGATTCTAAAATATTGATAACACCACCTCACAATATTAAATGATGAAATTGATAAAATTAAAACTGTAGAAACCAAAATGACCCAAAACGTACATGGATCATAGTTGAAATTCATAATTATTCTGTTGACAATTTAAAAAGTCGTTTGAAATAGGATTAATTTGACTCAAATAAAATTTTTTAAAGACAATTAAAATTTAAAGAACCAAATTTACAGAACACATAATTTTATAGTGAAATTTCTTTGCCGTTTGTTTATTCTTGGACATAGACCGAATCACATAAATCCGTGTAGATTTGTAAGTTTGTTTTGTTCATTATTTTTTAATTTCTAATTAGGTTCAAAATAAATAAATACATTATAAAATTGGTAATGTTTTATCAAACATTTTAATTACCACAAGAAGTAATTAAGATGTAGAAATTTTGAAGAACATTAACACACCAACAAGGGTAACTAGATCTTGAGCATTGAGTCCTTTTGCTGCAAATTTTTGCTTCTGTACATCAATGGAGTCCGTGAAACCAGGCAGATTGCTGGTTTCAGATGCTAAAGAAACTCTTCCATCTTTCCTCCCCGTCGGCACCTGCCAGCCCCTGCCCGTAGTCTGCATGAAACATTTTTGAAAAATCACGGTTAATTAGTAGTCGAGTTGGTCTATGTGCACAGAATTAAATCATATAAAAATACTTTAAAATGTATATAAAAAGCACATAAAGTGTACACATATTAATTTGGTAAAGCGCGTTAGAATTACAACAATACTACAATCATTACCAGCTTTGTATATATGACAGTGACATGTATAATATGATGCTTAAAAGCTTGACTAGTCCGTGAAACCAGGCAGATTGCTGGTTTCAGATGCTAAAGAAACTCTTCCATCTTTCCTCCCCGTCGGCACCTGCCAGCCCCTGCCCGTAGTCTGCATGAAACATTTTTGAAAAATCACGGTTAATTAGTAGTCGAGTTGGTCTATGTGCACAGAATTAAATCATATAAAAATACTTTAAAATGTATATAAAAAGTACTTAAGTGTACACATATTAATTTGGTAAAGCGCGTTAGAATTACAACAATACTACAATCATTACCAGCTTTGTATATATGACACTGACATGTATAATATGATGCTTAAAAGTTTGACTATTACCAAAACCACTGAATCACGAGCAGCAAGAGCAATAATATCAGCACAAGAGACAACTCCAGGGCATGCAGCTTCAAGCTGTGTCTTGGCATCATCAATGACTTCATATCCTCTCAAAAGAAGGTTTGGTGGAGCTGTCTTCTCGGTCGAAGGACCATCGATGAGGATCGAGGCATCACAGCCTTGGACAAAACAGTCATGGAAGTGCATTCTAAGCAATCCCGGTGCAACCGTGGCATCGGATTGAAAATGAGACTTCACCGTTGCCTGGACGATGGTTTCAGCTCTAGGGCACGAAGTTGAATAGAATCCAACTCTTGTGCCTTGGCCCACCGTCAAAGTGGCGGTGGTGGCTAGCCAGAGAAAGAATAGAATGTGGATTTGTTTGGCAAAACTCATTGTGAAATTTTTGCTAAGTAGTTGACACTGGGGAGGATGAAGATTGAGACTTGATGATGATAAAGGGTGACAAGGGTTTTGTTGTATGGATGGTCTAAGGGAAATGGTTTGGCTTGTGATGGTATGAGAGGCCAGAGGATGTGTTGTATTTATAGCCATTTATACATGGTACGTACTAAAAGAATATATTGAAAATTCTTTCAAAAATAAATAACATATATAAATCACATTTATATCGAATGTGACCAAAATCACACCATATATTATACTTTTTGAGTACAAAAAATCAAAATTATTTCAAAAATAATATGTATGAATCAAATTTATTTTGAATGTAATCCACGCCACACTATATATTTCATTTTTAGAGTACTTGTAAGGTTACTTTTTTGGAGTACATAACGATCATCTATTTCCAAGTTTTTTCATTTTATGTTCTAATGCATTTTTAATTAGAAAATCTCGACATACATAAATCTTGAAACATAATTTAATGATTGAGAATATATTAAAATATAGAAATTAAAATTAAGAACATAGCTTTTTTTTATTTTTTAATAATTATTTTTTGGGTTCAGAATTGAAATATGAAGAAGTTAAAAAATTAAATGTTCAAAAATATAGAGTAGAATGCAGACAATTTGTTCGGATATTAAATACTAAACAATGTCAAATAATTCGGAAACACAATATTGAATATATGAATTTTTTTTAGAAACAAGTTTTTGAATAAATATAGTTTGCCCGGTACCGTATTTTTGAACAAATTTAAAAAATTTCACCAATAAAAAACAACAAAGATAAACAAAAAACTTACATTTTCTATAAATATCATATCATCTCTTTATTTTTTTATATATTTTTCATATAAAAAGTCAAAAAATACACTTCTGTAGATCATTCCAAACAACCCCTTAATATTTCATTATAAATTCTAGTTAATTTTTTAAACTTTTTTTCCGAAATATTTTTTGGATTAAATTTCTAATTTTTTTCCTGAGATTTTAGACCTACCGTTTAAACTTTTTCATATAATAAAGTACATGGCAATGCATGCATGCATGTGTTGGTTGCTCCTTTTCTTTTTCACCGCCATGATAACGCGGATCATTGTTGGTTGAATTTTTAGAATAAAAGTGGTTAGAATGAATCATTAGTTAAATTATGAGATATTTATTAAAAAAAATTTAAAATATTTATATCTCAATTAGTTCATAATATATTTTTATATTTTAATAAGTCTTATTATTTAGACATTTAGTCTATTAAATTTTAATTTTCATATTTAAAGAATTTTATGAATAGTTTTATGCATATAAATATTTTTTTGAATACTTAACAACTTGCTAATGTAAATATTCATATTTTACGGTATGAATTTCATACCAAAGCCTTGTTTGACATGATTTAAAAAAGTCAAAAAGTTAAAAAGTCACTATCCTATTTAAGTCATATCATCTTATTTAAGTCACATCACCTCTCTAACACATCACTTCAAATCCAACCCATACCCAACCTATATTTCATAAAAAGTCAAAAAGTACACTTATTTAGATCATCTCAGATCATTCCTAATTTTTAGTAATAATAACTCTTATACCTTACCTTTAAAAAGCTTTTTAGATAAAAGAAATGCTAGAAAAAGAGTCTTGAGATTCTTTTCACACATATTTTTTCAAGCCAAAAATGCTTTAGAGCTTTAATATAGGAGCTCTAATAGCTCTAATGGAAATGTGGGACCCACTCTGATGTGATGTTTGTGCCTTAGGAAAATGCTTGGGACCTCTAATTAGAGGTACCACTAGTGATGTGGCAGTGGGTCCCACCCACTGCCACATCAGTGCTGTGTCTTGATTCTTTTATGGCCCCCTCCAGTCCGGCCCACCGGCGGCTCCCCCTCTTTCTCTTCTTCCCCTCCCCTCCCCTCTGGTTCGTTCGAACGAGGAAGAAGAAAGAAAAAAAAAAAATCAAAAAAACCCTCAAAACGACGTCGTTTTGGGGGGCTGCTGGGACTGCCGCCGAGAAGGGCGGCCGAGAATCCGGACTCTTTTTTTTCTTGCTTTCATAGACTAATGGATACCACTTAGGTTGTTCTTAGCATTTCCCATTATAGAAATAGAGCACTATTTAACCCTTAGATTTCCAGTCTCAATGCTTAGCCAAGAATTGCTAACATTCAGACTTATTAGTTTAATATAAAATATCTATTTCAATGATATTTAATTATTGAAATAACATTTAGTATTGATGATAAATTTTGTATAAATAGTATTTTTTTTTATTGTAATCTGATCAATTATTTAAACTTACCCAAAGCTTCATTGAAGTTCAGGTTAATGGTTAATCATTATTATATGAAAAAAACAAAAATTAAATTTGATTTGAAATTTGTCAAAGACAATTTTTTTTTTTTCTCCGCCTCCATATGGACCATATCCATAGAAGCTTGTAATATAATTGTGTGTGTCAATTTCTGACTACACTGCTAATCAAGCACTTAGTTGGAGAACACTGACCGAATAGATTAAGCCCGAACGACCTGTCACAAAAAGAAGAGATTCCGGCTGTGGTTCGTCCACCCGGGGGCCCTCCGACGATCAAGTCAGTTATCTCTCAAAGATAGCAAAAGTACTTTAACTCACTATTCATAACATAAAAAGCATACCTTAGACCCATGAGGATGCCTCTCTTTTATAGCCAACACAAATCTAGTCCCAATAGAAGCCTAGCTTCAATGGATTTAGGATTACTGCTAATCTTGGACTCCCAGACTCTCTAAGAGACTTATCTTTACCCAAACTGAAGTTTTCTCTCATTCTAGGACTCTTGTTCCTCATCCGCTTATCTCGGATTCCAGTATTTCCACAGATAACATCAGCCTAGCTGAGATCATCTCGGCATCAAATCAAGAACACGTGGCATCTCGGCTAGTACATCGGTGACACTTCGGCCACGTGTTATCATTCACGAATTATATCCCCCACAATAATATAATATTGTCCTTAAATTTCATTCTTCCTTGCTAGTTGCATCTCTTGGCAAACAAAAGATGATTAAAGAAAAAAAATTGCCATTGTCAGTGTCATGGCAAATCATAGCATTTGATATCGTTTTTATTTTTATTTTTCTATTATCAAAAATAAAAAATGAAATTTATTACCCAAATATTATTTTGAAAAGTTATTTTGAATTTTTTTCCTAAAAAACACATTTTTCGAGATTTTTTTTTTATGAATATCTGAAGAAAAAAAATCCCACCCAAAAAAAAAAATACAAAAGGTAGTTGTTTCCAAACTTTTTATTATTTTTATTTCTAAAAATATGAAAAACAAAACCAAAAATAAAAAAGATCAAAAAAATTTTAAATACCAAACAGGACATAAATGCATTTCACATTACTATGCATCTTGTTCACTCATCCACAGTCCACTATTGACTGTCGGCCCTTCTTGGTTGGATATACATTAGACTTGTTCATTCAAAAAGCATATATACATTAGATAACATAATGCCTAGCCTATAATGCTTCCTTCCAAGAAATTTCTTTTCTTGTCCCCCATGTGATTTGTCACCTAATTACAAGGTTTGAAGACTTGTGCCCTGAAAATGATTGAGGTATTTGGGAACAGGTTAATTTGGTAATTTTTTAATTATTTGACTAAAATATGAGTTAAAAAAACTTAGTATGTTTGGGATGACTTTTTGACTTTTTACGAAAAGATGTGCAAAAAGTAGAGAGAAAAGAAAATCTTTGATTTTTTTTGTATAGGTTGTTGACTTTTTAACTAATTTAATAACTTTTTGACTTTTTGACTAAAAGAGTGGGTTCCCAAATGAGGCCTGAGCCTCATATAAATATAAAAATTTTATACTAATTTTTACACCTTACTTTGTGATTTACACCTTACTTGGAGATTTAAGGGTTTGTTTAGATAGACGTGGATTTCAAATAAAAGTATTTGACTAAGGATAATAACTAATGTTAGGCCCGTTTGGCAAAATTCTTTTCAGTTATAATCTTGTTTAACTTTTATTTCAGTGAGATTATGAGTTTTTAGATTCGAATCCAACCTGAATTGTGCATTGCAGAGATGTTTTAGAAGTTAATTCTTTCATGTTTGTCACTTCGCTGACTATGTCGGGGATCGAGCTAGAAGTTGTATTTTTGTGCTTGAGCAGAACTTCTTACGCTCGAGTGTCAGTCCACTCGAGTGGCCATTCTTGCGCTCGAGTGGAGATCACGGATCAGTTTTCTATAAATATGTGATTTCATCCGTTTTTAGGGTTACGGCTTCCAGATCTTCTTCTTGGATATTAAGGTTTATATTTGGAACTTCTTTGCTAGTTTCTTTGATGTTTGTTTGAATTTAAATCTGGTTTGAAAAGTGTACATCAAAGGATTTTGTGTTTCGTTCAATACAAAAGAGAGTGTTGTTCTACGGTGAATTTCGTGGTATTCGAGTCTGAAGCTTTTGTGGATTCCGAAGTGGCTCATAGTCGTGATTCGACATCGGCGTTGTGGATTCAACGTTAGGCAAGATAATTTCGAGGTGAAGACGGGGCTGAAAGAGGCACATAGGGGTTGGTTCGATTCGGGAGTGGATTCACTAGGTAATTGAGAGTACACTTATGTAATTCGTTTATGTCTTCTTAAGTGGATTGTTTTGTGGCTTTTTTCCGTGATTTTTTTATCATAATTGGATGCGTTCCAATTGTGATTTTTTCATGTTAAATCCTTGTATTGATTTGTCTTTAATTGTTTGATTGAGATTGCTATTTACTCATTAAAATTAATACATAATCACAAATTAATATGTAGGAAATTTTTAGATTTTTCAACTTAAATTTCGATATGATAATTTACTGTGGGGAGTCGGAATTTCTACCCAATTGCTATCAAGAGGATAATCCACTTCATGTCATATTCCTACAAACAAAAAACAAATTCCAGTAGGGTGGTATACCGTGTGAACCCTCTGAAAATCTAGTTAATATTCTTTCAATATTGTAAGTCCTCTCTTTCTTGTTCTTTTTTCTCACTTACCCTTACTTCAGGTGCGAATCCTCTATTTATAGGACCTCCTCCTTGCATTATTGTCCTTAGTCTGAACATGTCTCGTCTCATTATTGCCCAACTGCTATCATCTTTTCTCGCAAAATAGATACGGGTATTGGGTCACAATTCGATTCACACCCAGTCTAAAACATATGTACAAAATAAACTTAATCCAGCATAGCACATAGCTTATACCCAAAACTAAGTTCAATACATACACATACACAAGCCTAGGTCATTTCAGACCAAGACTTATATTTTAGTAGTGGTGATCGTGGCTACATAAATATTTTCTACTTTGTTCCCAAAATAAGCTTTTTCTTATTGAATAAAAAAATAAAAAATAACTTTTACTTTTTGTCATACCATAAATATGTGAGTTTTTGTGTTGAGAAGACAAATGCTCATAAATCTTAACATCAGCAAAAGGCTATGCTAAAAAAAAATACAATAAAGGGAAGGAAATAGCAGTTTTAAGGCATCATTTAACTAACTACCCATAGCCATCAAAAATTCACCCTCACATACCAACTTCCCTCCAACATATGCCTTCCCTTCCATCTTCGCTACTCCGAACTGTTTCTGCAGGTTGACAAGTGTCATTCTCATCACTAACGTGTCGCCTGCAACAACTTGGCTTCCGGAATCTGACACAGTCGATTCCAGCAAAGAAGAAGTTGTCGCGGGGTATTCCCACTTCTGGTTGCAGCATAACTATGCCACCAACCTGTGCCATTGCCTGAGTCCAACATTCATTCTAATCATCAGTAATAATCCAAAATACAAGCACTAGACCCAAATGTGAACAAGAATTAGTACATGCTTTCAAACAAAAAATTTAGATGCTGATTCAAATAAATATGAAGCAATTACCTCAATCATGAGGACACCAGGCATAATAGGTCTCTCAGGGAAATGCCCAGGAAAGAAGTTGTCATTTATTGTTACATTTTTAGTAGCAACAACTGAACCTCCTGGATTGTATTCAATCACTCTATCCACTAATAGAAAAGGAAAGCTGAAACCCAAAAAAAAATAAAAATGAAACATTAATAATTAATAGAGTCATAATAAAGAAATATTTGACGTTCATTTATTTTAATACAAATGTCATAAAATACCATAGCCACAGTTTATTGGACTGGTGGACTGGGACAACATAACACGACGGTCCACCAGTCCATTACGTGAACTAGAGAGAACCTGGGCCGATTTGAAACTCTACATCAGTGAATAACTACTACTAAACTTCTTTCAAATTAAACCCATCTCCCTCATTCATGAAACCACCAAAAAAATTTATAAACCCTCTTGATCACACTCAATTCACATAAAAATAAAAATAAGAAAATACATACCGGTGGGGCAAAATCTCGCGAATCTGATTGATATCCATCACAGAGGGAAATGCTGGATACTCTGCACACACACAAGAAAAAAAAAGAAAAAAAGAAGAAGAAGAAGAAGAAGAAGAAGAAGACAATTTAGATATTAATTGGACATAGTTTGAGAGAGAGAGAGAGGGTAGAGAAGCAAATGCGTACGCAATTCAATGGGAACCTCTTGGGTTGTAGTTTCATTGTCATTTGCTGTAGAACAGTTATTTACAAAAAGGCTACAATTCTTCTTCTTCTTCTTGGATTGGGGAGTGGATACAATGAGTGATCTGGAGATGGAAGCAGAGTTTTGAGATGACAAGGCCGTTGTGGATCGTGGCGGAGACAGAGAAGCGGTGTGGGTTCGGTGAGGGAGAGATGAGTGGCAAATGAGGGGAGAGGACATTGTGTGTGAGGCCATTGTGGATGCCATTGGCGACAGAGAAAAAGAGAAGAGAAGAGAGATAGATAGTACTGATCATCTTATAGTATTCATGGAGCATATAATTGATGTTAAAAATTAAATTAATTAAACATTGATAATCAATTAATTAGATCATATTTATCTATAAAAATAGACTTATTATTTTGAAAATCATCCAATTCGTTATTTTTAAAAAAACATAATTTAATCTAATAATTATCGATATTCAATTAATTTAATTTTAATATGGATAATATGTTTAGTAGTCTCACCAGATGAGCTATTGGAATAGTTGAATTATGCCCGAGATAGATCCATAATTGGCCCAATTGCACACATATGCTATTATGTAAATTATTATTACATCTTTTGAAATTTGTTTAAAATATAATTTGTTTTCTGTGATTTTAAAAATTATATTTTGCACCTTGAAATTTTTAATTTCATGGCAAATGAACTTTTTATAAATAAATTATCAAGTTAGTTACTAATTTTTTCAAAAATTTATTTTAATTAACAATTCAGATACTTTTATCATTATATAAGAAAATAATTAGAAATTTTATTTTTTCAATTAATTATGTTAAACACGAACTTGTAACAATGAGATATTTATAATTTTTCAAATTATAAGAAATAATCTGTATTTTAAGTAAATTTCAAAGATTAATTTATCCTAAAAATTATTTGGAAAGTCAAACATATTGTATAGATTTAAGATTAATAAGTCGTCAGCACATTTCAAATGATTGAAATTTATATATGTACGTTTTCTGATTAAATTTTTTATTGTATGAATATACGGAGTAACATTTTTCTTACTATATAATAATTATACTAGTGTTTCATAAAAAAAAAAGTTTTTGTTTGATTACTCAAATACGTTGAGCAAAAGCAATGTTATGTCCACCCAATCACATGGGCGCTGACTAATACGAAAATTCATAAATTTTTGAGTAAATTTTACCTTAGCATTGTTTCGGATCTTTTAAATTTTTAATTTATTTATTTATTTTTATACTCAATAGTTTGTTTGGGAAAGACTAGGCCCTGTTTGAAAAGTGTAATTTTATTTATTTTAGTGATTTTTTTTTTTTTTAATTGACTTTTTGGAAGTCATCCAAACTGTTAATGAAATGAATAGAGTGGACCTTAATTTTGATCTGTGCCAAGAAATTAGGGATATACTCTCACGTGATTGGCAATGCCACCTTCAACGGATTCGGTGAGAAGCAAGCAAATGCCTATGCTAATTCTTTGGCTAAAGAAGTTAGATACCTTCCACTTCACCAAATTCTTCAAACTCCTCCAGTCTTTGTCTTCTCTTTAGGCTTCTGTAAAATAATGATGTATTATTGATTGATGTAGATTGATGTGTTGTATTACAAATCAGAGTGGCATTATATAGGAGAGGGTTTGGGTAGTAGGTGAGGAGTAGGTGAGGGTAAATTGGTGGTAGGTGGAGTGTAGTAGGTGAGTGGGAATGGTAAATTCTCTAACAGCTTCGTCTGGAAAGTGGGTTGGTCTTTTGACTTTTTTGATTATTTTAGCCTGAGCTAAAAAATTTAGTTTGGAAATGACTTTTTGATTTTTTTAATTTTTTTTGTGAGAAAATAGTGTAATGATTATAGATTGGAGGTGATGTTTTGTTTTTTATGACTAAAATAGCCTATTTTGTTTTTTATGTCTAAAATAGCCAAAAAAGTTCCAAATCCATCTTCCCAAACGGAGCTTTACTAGGCAGGGTGTTAGAATTTGATAGATTTGTTGATAATTTTATTGATATCTCTAGCATTTTTTTTTTCAAAAAAATACTATAAAAATAGAGAAAATGAATAGAAATTACACTCAAAATGATGTAATTGAATTGGATGTCATTTTAAACAAAGAATTGACCAAAATAATTTTAAATTATAATCATTGTTAGTAGATTTTTTGTTTTTGTTTTTGTTTTTGTTTTTTAGGGCCATGTGGGTCCATCAGTTCGGCTATGCAGCATGACTAATTTGTGTATGTGACTTGTAAATTGGATAAGACAATAATTTTTTAGGAGGTTAATCCCAACCCCAATAGGAGAAAATCCTATCAGAAATACTTAATCCCAACTTCAATAGGAGAGGAATCATGCTAAACAAAAATACATTCCTATTTAGAAACAGACACTTAAAGAGGTGAGTCTTGAGGAAAAAATAAATAAATAAATTTGCAAGATATGCCATTGTAAATCAATATATTTGTCAATTGTGCAACGCATAAGTGAAGAATGATGGTTATTGCTATTTTATAATGAGAAATGTTAGAGATCATGAAAATTTTGTCATGAAAAAAATCATGAAAAATTTATGACCTTTAGATTACCTTGATTAGTGTGTGGTGCTTTATTGTAAGTGCAATCCAAAGGTCACAAATCTTTCATGACCATTTTCATGAAAGACTTTTCATGATACGTAACATTACTGTTTTATAATAGAACTCAGCTCGTTGCTTTCATGTAAATCACGAAAAAAAATTAAATTAATTTAATAATAAGATGATAAAATTGTGTGACTATAGTTATCTGATCACCCTTTTATTAATGGTATTCTCATTGTACTTTACATTATTCATCAATAATTTTTTTTTAGTAAAAAAAATAAATTTTCATGATATATACTATACACACAAATTTCTTGTCTGCAAAATAAAAACAAAAAAATAGAATAACAAATATAAATTTTTTATTTAAATTATGCGATTACAATCTCAGATGAATTTTCTGTTGGAAATGGTAGAAAAATTCTGGGTAAAACCAGAATTTTTTCTCAAGTTTGGTCTATTTTTTAGGTGGGCCCCGAGTGTCGATTTACTCGGGTCAAAGTGGTAACGCGTTCTATGCCGCGTTGTGATTCACGTGGTATATTTGGTTGCTCAAAACCATTACCGAGTGAATGGGAAATTGAAGCCAAAGTGTGCTCCATGGAAATGGAGTTTTTGTGGAAATTCCTTAAGGTTGTAAATTGGCTTATCCCACATTGATTTGGTGGGAAGTTTTGAAAGGGTTTATAAGGTTTGGGTTAGATACTTGGGGTGTGCCCCAAGGGGTACCCAAGTGTTTTAGAGGTTATCATTTGAATTTAATTTTATTTTTGTTAAAATAAAATCCAGAATTCATCCAAACAGAGCCCTTCCCGTTTTTTATCTGTTTGAATTATTAACCCAACAGATTCAAATCTGTTTAAATTTGAAACTAACAAGTTTCATACCTGTTCAATTCAAAACCAAGAGCGTTCTTTACATCTATAAATAGACTAGCCTCCCATTTGGATTTCACTCCAAGTTTCGTACTCCATCCTCTGCTTTAAATCTCTGCATTTTGCTGCATTTTATTTCTGAAAGAAAGAGTGTAAACACTTAGTGTGTTCGTAAGGCAAACAATTAGTAGTGCTGCTATTGTTTGTGGTAGATCATTTCATCCTGGGAGATAGACGTCCAAATTTTGAAAGCACCGTGGAGAGGACGAATCTGTCTTAAGGACACAGTGTTAAACACTGGACTTGATCAGAAAAGTTATTCAAATAAATTAACCAAGTAAGTTGTTTAATTTTATTTTGTTTTTATTTGTTTATTTAATCAAATTTTATTTTTGTTTTTGTAACAAAATAAAATCTGTGGTTTTATTTATTTATTTATTTATTATTTCGAGTTTGATTTTTGTAATCAAACAAATTCTCTCATTTTCTTTATATTCTTGTTATTGTTTTGTACACAACAGAATTTAACTTAATTAAATACAGTGAAGATTGTCCAACATTTTCTAATCAAAAAAAATAATTCTCTAATTCTTCTCTCCAAAAAGTTGACTCAAGGGCTTGACAACTTATTCTGTAATTGAACGACGAATAATCCTCTAATTTTTCTCTTCAAAAAGTTGACACTAGGGCTTGACAACTTATTCTCTAATTGAACGGCGAAATCTCCTCCAAATAACATGAAGAAGATGACGAATTTGTAGAATTTTGACTTGAGTTCTTGATAACTTATTTCCAAATCAGGTTTGTAAAATCTTAATCAATTTAGTAGAAGACACAAAATTTACAAAATTTTATGACAAACTTTGATTTGATCCTCCAAACTTTATGCTTTATGGAGGTTGATAGATTTTGATAAAAAGACCCTTGGGGCTTTAGACCTCGATGTAGATTTTTCTCACTACTATATGATTTTGTGTATCTAGAATTGTATGTAAAATTTTGTGGGAGATCACGCATGTGTGGTGGAGAGTTTTAACAAGCTTGAACTTTTTTTATAATTATTTCTGATTCATTTAGAGATAAATATCACTTTAATGGTGTGCTATACTTTTATTGACTTGATCACCTCAATGTAATAAGAGGCTTAATTTGATTAGGACAAGGCTTGTCGACTTAAAGAGACTGCATCATTTTGACATATGACAATTTGTGATTTTACCATCATATAATATTGATTTGAGACCACTTAGGCCAAGTTTGGGAAGACTAAAAAAGTGTACTTTTTGTCTTTTTGGACTAAAAAATTGAGGTTGAAAATATGGATGTTTGGGTTAACTTTTTGACTTTTTATTAAAAAATGACTTAAAGAGACTGCATCATTTTGACATATGACAATTTGTGATTTTACCATCATATAATATTGATTTGAGACCACTTAAACTTGTGGCCTTATTTGATTTACAAATGATAGTGCCATGAAATTTGTAGTACGTGGCAATTTATAACTGGTTGAAAATTTTCATATTCACATGTAGCTTTCACAAAAAATATTAATAGGACGCCGTTATTCTCACTTCACTTTGCCCGTATTTAGAATAAAATGGAGTGAGAATAGCGGCTTCCTAAATATAATATCACAACCAAATTATAATTATAGTTTATATGACTGACTAGTTTTTTTCTTCAGTTTCTTGATCACAGCAATGGCAACCACTCACCCTGTTTCCTCTCTGCTGCTATTCTTGGCAATGGTGTCTTTGTTCTTCTTGTTCAACCCTA